CTTTGACTGCATGTCACAAGTTCTCATCCATGGTACTATCCTCATAATCCAATTAAAAACATTTTCTAATTTCTCCTGTGTTTTCTCCTTTGACCTAAGGATTATTTACAAGTATATTTCTTAATTTTCGAACGTTTGGTGATTTTCAGATTATTTTTAAAAATTGCTTTTTACTAATTCCACTAGGGTTAGGGAGTATATATTCTATATAGTTTTAGACTTTTGGTATTTATTGAGACTTGATTTACAGACCAGTATATGTCAGTTCTTAAAACATTATTTGTATGTTTGAGTGTATTTTGCTGTTGTCGGTATAACATATGTAAATTAGTCAAATTTATTAATTATGTTGTTCAAATCTTCTGTCTTCTTACTGATTATTTTATTTGCTTGCATATCAGTCAGTGGGAAAGAGATGTTAAAATCTCCCAGTGTGACTGGGTTTGCCTGTTTCTCCTTTTAGTTTTGTTGTTTTTTGCTTTGTATATTTAGAGGTATATCATTAGGTGCAAGTACATTTACAGTCTCTTCCTGGTGGATTGAACCTTTTATCCTTATGAAATATCCTTTTTATCTCCAATAATGTTCCTTGCTTTAAAGTCTACCTCCTGATATTAGTAAGATATACCAGCTTTCTTTCTGTCAGTATTTGTGAAGTATATGTTTTTACATTCTTTTACTTTCACACTTTCTCTCTTTATATAAAGTATCTCTTTTACGTGAAAGTTTATTTTTTATTCATTCTTAAAAACTTTGCCTTTCAAGTGGAATATTTAATTTGATTATGGTTAATATAATCACTGGTAAGTTTGAGTGTAAGTCATCCATCTTATTCATTGTTTTCTATTTGTCCATCCTGTTTTATTTCCCTTTTACTGTCCTTTTTATTTTCATTCATTAATTTTTAATATATATTCTCCTCTCTGTTAGCTTGTTGATATCTTTTCCTGTTCTTTTAGTGGTTACCCTAAAGATTTCAACATATATTCCAATAGTAGACTTAAAGTCTATTAAAAATTAGTGCTTTTACCCCTTCCCATTCAATGGAAAGGCCTTAGAACATTTGCTATATAGAACTAAATTTATCCTCTCTTACCCTTTTGCAGTTGTTTTCATATATTTCAATTTTATATATGAGTATATATATGTATGTACATTTTAAATCCCATCAGATGTTGTTAATTTTGTTTTATGCAGTCAGTATTCATTGAGATTTACTTATATATTCTCCCTTCTGTTACTCTTCATACCATCCTGTGTCTCTGCTTTTATTTGGGATCATTTTCTTTCTGACTGAAGAACACTTCAAGTATAGTCAGCTACCAATAAATTCTTTTAGCTTATATTTTTCCGAAAACATCTTTATTTTGCTTTTATTTTTAGTGATTTTATAATTCTATGTAGGCAGTTATTTTTATTCAGAACTTTAGAGCTATCACTACATTGTCTTCTGGCTTTTGTTGCTTCTGTGGCAAAGTCATTTATTAGTTTTATTTTTACTCTTTTGAAGGAATTTTTTTCCCCCACTCCGGCTGTTTTAAGGTTTTACATTTGTCTTTGACTTTCAGCAGTTGTGTCTGGGTGTGTTTTTCTTCTACCCTATTGGGCTACTTATGTGCTTATGTACCCTACTGGGGTTTATAGTACTTATGGAATCTGTGGGCTGGTGTCAGTTATCATCTTTCCAAAAGTTTTGGCAGTCACCTCTTCACACACTGGTTCTCTGTCCTTCCGTTCTGCAGTTCTAGTGTGAGACCTTTTCACCATATCTCATATGTATATTAAGTTTTTCTTTTTGCATTTCTCATTTTTTCTCACCATGCTTAAATCTAAAAATTATCTTTTAATCATTAATTTCTGCTACTAAACCTATCCATTAGTTCTAAATTTCAGGTATGGTATTTTGCATTTTAGAATTTCTGCATATTTTTTTAAATGATTTTCAGTTCTATGTATAAATTCTCTATCTTGTCATTTAATTTCTTAATTATAGTTATTTTAAATTTCATGGTTCAACATCTGGTTCTCCCAATTTCTGCAAGCTTGGATAAAAAATTATCTCTTTTCACTAACCTCTAACTGAATTTAACATTTCCTTTAATTATGAAAGTAGGCAACAAAGTCACAGGTGTACCTGCAAATTTCAAATACTTTTGTATCTCATTACTATTGTTACAGATAAATTGAAATATATATGCTTATACTCATCACTGCTTTGAAATTACAGTAGTCATTAGACCTGCCTCTAGGTGTAGTTACTTAACACATTAATACAGAAACTCACATATTATGTCACAAATTTTAAAAAATTATTTTTATAGTTATTTCTTTATAGCTGGCTTCCAATATATGCCTAGTGTATTTTTTTTATGTGTTTAAAAAACATATTGAGAAGGAGTCCACAGAGTTCAGAGTGCAGAATGGTCCAAAAAATGATCTGTACAGCGTAGGTCAGATTGTATCATTGCTCAGTTCAGAATGCTCCAGTGGGCTTCCTCTCATTTCTCTCAGAGAGTAAAATGCAGAGTCTTTTCAGTGTCTTAAATGGCTGTCCATGATGTGTACCAGCCCACTTGCTGCACTTTGACCTTATCTCCACCTCCTGTTCTTTTTGCTCACTTTGCTGCAGCCACATAGGGAAAATGCCAGGGACACTCTTGCTGCAGGTCCTTTCTAGTAGCTGTTCCCTCTTCTTGGAACACTCTTCCTCAAAATATCTTCATCGCCTACTCAGTCACTTACCTCCTGACCACTCTACTTAAAATATTTATCCCTTCCCCTTGGTACTAACTGCCTTCTCTGCTCTGGTTTTCCCCATACACTTATTATAATTTCTCATATTACATATTTTACTTATTCATTAGTTTAGTATTGATTTTGGGAGAGGAGCTCACCATAGGCTTCTGTTTACTGTCAGGTTGGACCTTCAGCAATAGTTAGGTCAACTTTGGAGAGTTGCTCTTGGTCCTACGCGTAACTTCCATCCCTTTTACCACCTCTATTTCACTTATAAGCCTATTGCATTAAGAACAGGGTGGATGATGACAAAAACTAGCTAATGTCAGCTGAATTGGCCAAGTCACTTTGACTGCATGGTTGTTCATTGCCTCTTTTGAGGTCGATGCTGTCTTGGATTAACATGTAGTACAAAGAACTTCATACTTGGTGTCCACTTTCATATATCTGTCTACATGCATCTTCCCCACTTCTTGCCTCAATCTCCTGATCTTTTCTAGGGATTATCTCGATCTTCTGGAGAGCATATTTCTCACTATTGTAGTTGATACTTTTTGCTCACCTGATTCATATAACATGATGTTATCAAGATCATGGACCAACATGAATTTCTTTGGAATGTCCAGATGGTCCAAGTCCCTTAGTACTATGTTAAGACAAAGGGCTTCAAAATTACTATACCCCTGATTCAGGCATGTAAATGTGTGCTGCTGTTGGTTGCAAATGTAACTGTCTTTTGTCTTTCGTCCTAATAGAGATAGAAAAACACACTTTACCAGATCAATGACTGCATACCACTTACCTGACAGAGAACTGTAACCCTGTCTTTATATGCTGCCAAGGAGGCCCTCTGGCTTTCACACTATATATAGTCTTTAATTGGTCATTAATTATCCTTAGCCTTTCATTGTCTTTCTTCATTGCATTGACTGCTCCTAGCAATAGCTATTCAATTCTGTAGTCCTTTTTATTACTATTTTTCCTGTCTCTTTCAAATGCCTGAAATATTGCACCAGCCAGGGCCTTCTCTTTCACCAACAAAGTTTTGGCAATTGCAGTTGCAGTGCTGCAGCGTATCAGAAACTGTGTACCACTAGTGATGGCGTCCTCATTGCTAGCCAGTCGGTGATTGATAACTGCTCCTAAATCTCATTTTGGAGTTGGATTCATAGGACCACTTTTGGTACCAACTCTCTCAGGTCAGGTTCCTCAAAAAAACACTTTGAAACATCAGGATTTGCACGCAGAAGTTTGTTGAGGAGTGCTTCTGGGGTCAACCCTGTGAGAAAAGGTGCAAGGGAAACTGCATTAGGAAGATGGAGAAATTGAATTGCCATATAGATGCAACAGCAGCCTCAACTGATTCCCACATGGAGATCTGAGGCTGGAGTAACCCTTCTGAGATATCCCAGATTGAAGCAGAGGGCTGGACCATTTTACTGCACGTCAGCCAGTCCCTGACTGTGGGCTGCTTTGGAATGGTAACATAACCTTGGATGAGGGAGTTGTCTGCAACTCAGGGGAATTCCTCAGGGCTTATTTGTGAGTCATCAGCAAGCCAAATCCTGGAAGCTGGGGGAATGAGTCCTGAAGGGGTGTTTCTGGGTGGCACACCGCAGCATTCACTACAGCCACAATGGCAAGATCAGTTTTAGTGATGGTAAGGGTGGAAAGGATACTGTAGTGCTAGAGAAATAAAGGAGGAGATGAAAACTCTTTTAAATAGCTTAGCTGTGAAGGGAGCAGAGAGAGGATAGGCAGTAGAAGTTCCTAAGGAGACTGGAAGGGATCGGATCCAGAATATAGGTAGTAGATTAGCCTTGGTCAGGAAGATATTTATTTCCACCATTGTAATCAAAGAGAAGAAGGAAGAGAGATGCAGTAAGTTTGTAAATTAATGGGAGGAAGTTGAGGCAGTTTAGATGCAGATAACTTTATAAATTCAAGGGAGGTAGTTGAGGCAGTTATTTGTTTCTTCTGGCAAAGAGCAGGAAGAATTAACAGCTGAAAGAGGAGGATTTGTTTGGGTTGAAGATTTAAGGTCAGTAGAGAAGAATTTACTAGATTGCTGTGGAGAGTGGGAGGGAGAGCTAACAGGATAGCCGCTGGTGTTGAGAGCGCATTATAGGTGGATGTTCCTGATGTTGTAGAATTATCACTTTGTGCAGTTGTGTGACTTTTTCTCTGGCAGTGCTTAATGTAGTAAAAGTATAAACATTATGCTCAGTGTCTTACCAGACTTTTTTTTTTTTTTTTTGGCATAGCCATCAGATCAAGTCATTACAGTATAGTAATACGGGAGACATGATTCTTGTGGTGTCTGGAAGCTCTCAGGCCAAAGTGATTGACAGAGATGGTTTTGAAGTAATGGAATGTATAAAGGGAGACCAATATATTGTGGACATGGCCAACACCAAGGTAAGCATTAAACAAAATGCTTTAGTGAATTTAATTAATTCAGCACACATTTATTTTTTTTATTTTCTTTTTAAAGATTGGCACCTGAACTAACAGCTGTTGCCAATCTTCTTTTTTTTTTTATTCTTCTCCCCAAAGCCCCCCAGTACATAATTGTAGGTCCCTCTGGTTGTGCTGTGTGGGACGCCACCTCAGCGTGGCCTGACGAGCGGTGCCATGTCCACACCCAGGATCCGAACCGGTGAAAACCTGGGCTGCCGAAGTGAAGCACGCAAACTTAACCACTTGGCAACGGGGCCAGCCCCTCAGCACACATTTATTAACAACTTGTTTGAGTTGCCATAATTCACCCCAAAAGTTGGTGTCTTGTTTTAAACAATTTATTATTTCTCACAATTCTGTGCATTGACCTGGACGTTCTTCTGCTTTGTAGTGTTAGCTGGAACACTAGGATGGTTGTGAGGTCCAAAATTGCCCTGCTTAGATGGTTTACAGTTGGTGCTCTACCCAATGTCATCTCTTTCTCTCTCCCTCTTCTCCTACCTCTTCCTTCGCTCTCAAGTGCTCTCTCTCTCTCTCCTTCTCTCTTTCTCTTTTCACATGTCTGGTTTGGGATTTCTTACAGTGTGGTGGACTTAGTGGGCTTTGACTTCTTGCTTAATGACTGGATTCCATGAAAGACAAACATGGAAACTTAAGATTTCTTAAGGTCTGGCTTCAAGTCTTACACAACACCATAGGGCCAGCCCAAATTTGGGGAGAGAGGAAATAGACTCCACCATCTGATGTGTGAATGGCAAGATCACACTGTAAAATATCACCTGGGATGGGAGATATGGATGCTGCCATCTTTGGAAATACAATCTACTACAAACCTATTATATACTAGGCTTTAGGACAAGAAGGAAGGAGGGTTTCATCAACTTTTTTTTTCTTTTGCTTGAGGAAGGTTAGTCTTGAGCTAAGAGCTGTGTCAGTCTTCCTCCACTTTATATGTGGGTCACCACCACAGCATGGCTGATGAGTGGTGTAGGTCCACGCCTGGGATATGAACCCACAAACCTGGGCTGCCAAAGTGAAGTGCACCAAACTTAACCACTGCACCATGGAGCTGGCCCCTTCATCAACCTTTTTATGTAAAGATTTTTAGTGAGATAATGGTATTTTTATTTATTATTATTATTATTATTTTTAAATCTATGGACTTTATTCAAATTTTGTCAATTGTCTTATGTCCTTTATAGCAAGATTAAAAAAAATAATTTTTAAAAAAATTTTAATTTTTTTCGTATGTACATCATATTTCGAATTCTGTGTACATTACATAATGTTCACCACCCAAACACTAATTACAGTGCATCCCCTCACATGTGAGCCTAATCACCCCTTTTGCCCTCCCCGCTCCCCCCTTCCCCAGTGGTAACCACCAGTCCAATCTCCAATGCTATGTGTTTTTTTTTTTTTTTGTCATTTTTATCTTCTACTTATGAGTGAGATCGTATGGTATTTGACCTTCTTCCTCTGACTTATTTCACTCAGCATAATATCCTCGAGGTCTATCCATGTTGTCACAAATGGCCTGATTTCGTGATTTCTTATGGCTGAGTAGTAGTCCATTGTGTATAAATACCACATCTTCTTTATCCATTCGTCCCTTGATGGGCACCTAGGTTGCTTCCATGTCTTGGCTATTGTGTATAATGCCGCAATGAACATAGGGGTGCAAGTATCTTTAAATTAATGTATGTTAAATATCAATTAACCAAAGCCACAATAATGCTATAAAACTTAATGGCTTATTTATAATTGCTGACATACCTGTGGATTAGCTGCTCTTGGCTGGGCTTGGCTCCAAGCTGCAGATAGAATCTAGGTCTGTTCAATGTATCTCTGTTCCTCCTTGCACAGAGGACTACCTGAGGGTATATTTTTCTCATGGTGATGGCAGAAACACAAGAAGGAATGTCCAACTCTGGAAGCACATTTCAAGCCTCTTGCTCATTATGTCCATGAACATTTCATTGCCAAAGCAAATCACATGACCATGGGTAACATTAAGAGTGGAGAAACATGGCTTGATCTCTAGTGAGAGGATCTGTAGTATGGCATGTCAAAAGTTGTGGATACAGGGAGGGGTGATGGATTGGAAACAATAAGGCAGTCTACCACAGATATATTAAAGTGTCAGTACATGTGGTTGACACAGAATTTTGAACCTTCATTTTAATTTTGATTTTTACTTTCTCCCCCTGCCTATCTAGCACTTTCTTCTAATACACTAAGCATCATGGTTTGTTCCTAAATCAAAATTTTGTATGAGATTTGGCTGTCTAAGAAAATACAGTCAGTGCTCACTAGTTGTGGTTTCTATATTTGCAAACTCACCTACTTGCTAAAATTTTTTTGTAACCCCCAAATCAATACTCACGGCACTTTCATGGTCATTTGCAGACATGCACTTGCACAGAGTGACAAAAAAGAATTTGAACAAGGTGGTGCTCTGCCTTCTTGTTTCAGCTCTCAAACTATAATCAAGTGTCCTTTTTGTGGTCTATTTATTGCTACGTTTTCTTATTTTTATGCTTTTGTTGGAGATTTTGTTGTTTAAGATGGCCCCCAAGAGTAGTGCTAAGGTGCTGTAGTACTGTCTAGTGTTCCTAAGTGCAAGAAGTCTGTGATGTGCCTTTCAGAGAAAATACGTGTGTAAGATAAGCTGGATTCAGGAATGAGTTATAGTGCTGTTGGCCGTGAGTTCAGTGTTAATGAGCCAAGGGTATGTGTTACATAAGATGTCCTTAAACACAAACATACATAAAACAAGGTTATGTGTTGATTGGTTAACAAAAATGTGACCAGAGGCTTGCGGGAACCTAACCCTGTATTTGATAATTCAGTGTTTGCAAAACTTTATAGACCATAACTCCTGCGAGTAACGAGGATTGACTGCGATCTACGTTAGATGCTCTGGTTGAGCTATTGGCATAAATTAATATAGTATGTTTCAGAGTACCCTCTTCTGAATCCTAGTGAAGTGCCTCTCACCCCAACGAGAATCACAATCTCATGCCTTTTCTTTTGTTTGTTGACTATTTATTGAATGTCTAGTATATGTTAGATGATTTGAACAGGATTCACATATAATTTAAACGTAAAATTATATGTAGTTATATTGTATTCATGGCTTGAGTAGTTTTTTTTCTTTTGTTTTTCATGTATTCCATTAGAGTTTCTCATTCCCCTCTCCTTAAAATCATTTCCCCAGAAATTCCTCCAAAGATGTTGTGTTGAGGGTGATGGTGGTAAGGAAATAAAGCAGGTGGGTCTCCAGATTGCTCTCCCTGTCTTAAACTCAAATAGTTCTGTTTTTATCTGTTTTATTTGAAGCTTGGAGGAATCCAAAACTTTAAACAACTGGTTTGTGGAAATGAAAGCTTTAAAAGCTCCTATTTAATTTATTCTTTTTAAGTTTGTGCTTACCATAGATAATTTTTCTCAAGTTTGAGGGAGAGAAGTTTTTGCCTGTCTCTAAGCTCTTCTTAATGATTTCAGACGCTTCGGGCCACTTACATTAAAAAAAGCCTGACTTGTGGATCTATATTTTAGCCAAGAAAATTTCAAGAAAGGAATCTGGTTGGTTCTGTGTCTGGCTATTTCTTCAATCTCAGACTTATACATACAGTACATATAGTAAGATGAATAGGAAAATTGGACAAGGATGGATAATATTTTAATTTCCTGTATTTCTATATTACCAGTATGTAAAAAACTACTATATATTATAACTATATACTGTAACTCCCTCAAGCCTGCCTAATCTTATTTCCATTTTGATTTCAAAACCATGGTCAATATTTACTCTTCTTCATTTCCCAGCAGCAAATATAATTATCTGTATGTCTAGGAAATATTACTGATAACTTACTTGTAGTTTTTGGCTTGAATGATGAGTTTTGGAAATACAAGAATTATTATTTGAAAGTAGGAGATTTCATGGGACACTTCTTTTTCTCAACTTTTTAACCTCTTTACTGATTCCAACAGTAATTAGTAACTTGTGGCTTTACTGGAAAATTCAACTAATAGGACATTAAGGAAACCATTAAATATATCTGATCTGTTATGATAACATTATATACTTCAAATATAAACAGGCCCTTCTAATTACATTTTTAAATTGTTATATCGTTAAATTTGTATCTTTAATCTGTATATCATTTTGCATTTGTGTGTGCGTGTGTGTATATATATACACACACGCACACACACAATCGCTCTCACCGAAAAAAACAAAAACAAAAACTGCGGTTATATTGTCATCTAAAACTCATTTATTCTAAACTAGAATTTTGGTTTGTTACTTCCAATCAGAGTGTTTTCCTCTATAACTTTGAACTCTTAGGCACACACTTTGCCTGGGATTCAGACGGGGCTCTTTGGCCTAGAGCCCACAAACGTGTGATTATTAAGCTTCTATCCCTCATTGAGAAATATTCCTGTATTTCAAAACTCCATAGCAAATAAGTATTAAGTTTAATTAAAAAATGTTTTAGTAGATTATTAGTAAGTGATACCTATGGTAGTAGTCTTATTGTCTCATTTATTAAACTTACTTTTTTTTTTTTTTTTTTTGCTGAGGAAGATTAACCCTGAGTTAACATAGGTTGCCCATCTTTGTTTTTTGTTTTTTTTTTGAGGAAGATTAGCCCTGAGTTAACATCTGCTGCCTATCCCCCTCTTTTTGCTGAGGGAGACTGGCCCTGAGCTAGCATCCATGCCTGTCTTCCACTACTTTATATGTGGGACACCTACCACAGCATGGCTTGCCAAGTGGTGCCATGTCTGCACTGATCCAAACTGGTGAACCCCGGGCCGCTGAAGTGGAATGTGTGAACCTAACTGCTGTGCCACCAAGCCAGCCCCAATCTTTGTGTTTTTGCTTGAGGAAGATTTGCCCTGCACTAACAGCTGTGCCAATCTTCCTTTTTTTTTTTTGTATGGGG